CCAACACTCTGCAGTCCAGGAGGCCTGCGAACGGGCGGAGGGCCACGGTCTTCCAGTCCCGGCGTGGACGCGGCCATGGCAACTGCGGCGGACCCCTCTTAGAGGAGTGCCTGACCAGTTCTCCAGGACCAAATAAAGTTCATTTCACTTCACTTACCCAGACCGCACTGCGTCTGCCTCTTTTTGTGACGGAGAAGGCCGGACGCGCTGAAACGCGCATGCGTCGAAGCAACGCAGCGCGGCGCTCGCCTGCGAGTATATATGGCAGAACCGGCACCTGGCTGATAACGCCGGTGTGACGCGACGAAACGAACGCCGGTGCGCACGTGCGCCGGGTCCACGTCGAAATGTATTCGAGCCCCTGCTGCGGCAAGTATAGTCATGTTCTCACTTGACACGCATCTCGTGATTACCATGTTTGCACCAGTCACACATACCTTCGTCATCTATTGACGTCACGTAATACCGAATTTGGTACATTTAAAGCTATAGCGAAACGGCCGCGAGTGCATCATGAGCGTATAGCCTGTAGTCACGTTGTTGCATGATACACCTCTCATGATTATCATGTTTGCACCAGTCACATATCCTCGTCATCCATTCACGCACCGTAGTACCAAAGTTGGTATATGTTGATGATTGATATGTGGGGTTTAACGTCCCAAAACCACCATATGATTATGAGAGACGCTGTAGTGGAGGGCTCCGGAAATTTAGACCACCTGGGGTTCTTTAACGTGCACCCAAATCTGAGCACACGGGCCTACAATATTTCCGCCTCCATCGGAAATGCAGCCGCCGCTGTATTGCGAGCATATTTGATTAGTCATAACATGAAAATTATGACCTGTATGTCATGATTTACATTTCATGGTCCTGCTGCTTTTGCGGTGGTTTAGTTCACATTACACGTTTCGGAACTGCTATGGTATGACATGATTTCATTACGACACAAGCAACAGCGTTAACATGAAAATCATGACATGCGTGTCGTTGTAACAAAATGACTACATGCACAACGCTCATGATGCGCTCACGGCCGTTTCTCTAGCGTCACATATACCAACTTTGCCCCGCCGCGGTGGTCTAGTGGCTAAGGTACTCGGCTGCTGACCCGCAGGTCGCGGGTTCGAATCCCGGCTGCGGCGGCTGCATTTCCGATGGAGGCGGAAATGCTGTAGGCCCGTGTGCTCAGATTTGGGTGCACGTTAAAGAACCCCAGGTGGTCGAAATTTCCGGAGCCCTCCACTACGGCGTCTCTCATAATCATATGGTTGTTTTGGGACGTTAAACCCCACATATCAATCAATCAATCGCAATACAGTGATGTTATGCCATACTTAGTTTGGTATTGATTGATACCATAATCGAAACGGCCAGGAGAGCTTAAAGTTGTAGGCGGCTAGAGAGATAGATAAATAGATAGATACGTTCAAAGTCGCCAAAGTTCGCTAATAAATGCTTCGAACTTAAAAGTTAACGATTTAGAGTACTCGGTACTCTACTGTGGAAGAGCTAAAAGCCGTCCCGAAATTTCCGTGCTATCATTCAGCGGATTGGGGGGGGGGGGGGGGGTTAGAAATAAGGGGGTAACGATTTAGAGCACAGGGTACTCTACTATGGGAGAGCTTAAAGCCGCCCCGAGGATGTCACAACCAATCAAGCAACGGGTGAACAGATCACATGTTGCCCATGCCTAGCCAGCGTACGCTACCGCGATGGGCCTACGCGTTTGCACCAGTTTCTCACCAAGTTTTGTCAGCATATACTATGACACGGCATGACACCCAAAGCAGCATATATCGCTATCTTCAAAATATATTATGTTTGCCCGATATCTTTTAAGCTAATGTCGCCAATCTCATAGTTTGAAGCACGCAAGGGCTACATTAAAACGCCGCTTTGATAGATGTCAGCGGCCGATAGAAACGAAGGCAGCACGTTTCAGCGTCGCTAGTTAACGATTTGTACGAAGTGTTTTTCTTTCTTTTCTTGTCATGCTATTGAGTGGATAGCAAGGAATCGGTCTTGGCTGCATGTATAACTCGGGAAGACAAAATAACAGCGTACGTACGAAAGTTGTGCGCTCTGAACCCAGCGTTTAGTTGAGGCAAATCCTCATTGCTTAGCTTTCCAAACCCCTGCGAGGATGGTGCTCAGGGCAGTTCCGATAGTCAACTTGCATTAATGTAATATTTTTTAAACTACGGTTGATCATTCTTATCTCCGTGCCCATGTTACGGTCCGAGAGCTGGCTAGACTTCTTGTCCTTCCGTTTTTCTCCTTCTCTCTTGTTTTGGTTTCATCCCTGAAGTGATTTGAAGAAGATATAATACAAAATAATAAAAAAAAACTACGCTGCTCTTGCGTGGATTTTTGGTTTGCCGATTTAGTAAAGCTTCAACTTGGGCTGCTTGGAAACCAGTGTAATAATGATCATGTGCTAAGCAGTTTCCGCAAATGCTCGATTGCCCTATAGATGTTGCCTATTAGTCTATCGCGCCTTTCGCTAAGCAAGTGCATCAGAAGATTTTTAGTCGATCACAGCGTTCTGCTGCAGTGCGCACACAAAAACATGCTTACGCACCATATGCTATACAGCTGATGTACTAGTTCGCGCCGTTCGTTTTTTGCAGTCGCCTGGCTAGTAGATAGTTTATTTTTTAGTTGTTGCACATTGTACAGCATTACTCGACACCATTCAGTGAATCTCGTTGCGTAGACGTTTGTTTCTATATAAAAGAATAAAATACCCAAGTTGGCTCCGCGATGTACTGCATCCAGGATGGTCTTACGTTTTCTGTGACAGGCCCGCGTTACGGGGGGCGCAAGCCGCATGAAGCTTATTCGTTACAAAAAACTGTTTTGAATGGGCTTCCTTCCCTCCAAGCTATGAAGCTTGGGCAAGTTGTTAGGACATAACTGAATGCAGGAACAGCGCAACCTTGAAGTAGTTACTTCGTAACATATATTTTTTACATATATATATTTACATATATAACATATATTTACATATATTTTTCGCCTATATATGTACACCACTCCGATATTAAATCTTTGCTGAAAGTCAGCGCTCTTTTCTGTCCTTGTTTTTTTTTTTTCGCTTCCGTAGTTACGAAGTAACTACTTCTAGGTTGCGCTGTTCTTGCATTCAGTTCCCTCCAAGCACCCCGGGAAGTGGCGTAGCCAGAGATATGGGAGAAGGGGGGGGGCGGGAGTCATTTCTTCAGGTTTATTCTCCTTCCCCCCCCCCCCCACTTAGTATGTATATACGCACACCATCACAAGCACGGCCACACAGAAAGGGGTGTCGGATACCCCTCCCCCCTTCCTTTCTAGCGAAATCTCTGGCTACGACACAGGCTTTGTGGAGGTTATCATCATGGAGGTTATCATCATCACCCTCTCCCACCCCAACAAATGCCCACCGAGTGTTGCTCCACGCAAGCAGTCGCCCAGATGCGAGAACACCCTTTTTTTCTTTTTTTCGGGTGCCAGGCCACGCAAGGCGAGATGGAATGCGACCATCGGTACGAACTGCTGCCCCCCACCACGGCCGAGCGTAGAGGAGGCTCTGCAGGCTGCCCCTGGGGGGAAGAGGGAGGGGAGCTCCGTCGCCAGCACCACCACCGCGAAGAAGAGGCCCCCACCACGGCTCGAACGCCACTCTCGCCCCGCACCTGGCAGCAGCAAAGACAGTGGACACAAGGGCGTCAGTGCTGCCCTATGTTTTTTTCTAAACTTACGTCTCTATTTTTCACTCTTTTCTCCCTTTACCTACAGCCGCCGCCACACTTAATCAGAACGACTTAAAGGTGAACATATTCGACGAAGATCTGTCTGGCTTTTGAACATAAGCTGGCTGGAGAGTTTATGCTATTCGTAAGAAATAATCGGAACGGGCCCCACGCTATACTTTTATAATGAGAGGTCGAGAATCAAGACTGAAACACACACAAGACCAAGTCCTGTGTGTGCTTCTTGCGTCGTCTTCGTTGTTGACGCAGTTTCGGTCGAGAAACCGCGCGGTACACACCGAGGAGCCCAGACAGTGCTACTTGTCGTTCGCACTTGTTTCTGATCCGACGTCGACATTGTGAAAAGGAGGTAGAGCTGCGAGACCCAGACAGACGTAAGCGTGATTCACTTGTCATAAACTTGAAACAAGTTACGTCAACCGATCCCCCAAGCTGCCCAAGTCACCCGTTTAAGAATTAAGGGAGAAGTCGGCAGCCCCCGATGCTTTACAGAAAAGCGTCACTTATACCCAACCTCTTTGTGTGCGATGCACACACATAGGTCCAAATAACATCCCTCATTGAAAGGAGAAAAAGTTATGTCCCGTTTGAGTGTGGCAGCGGCCGTAAAGTACACGAAGGCGAACAGTGTGTCCAGCCCTCGGGCACGTTCACACAAGCCCAGGGTACGTAAGCAATCCCCTTTAGAGATAGTACACACCCTAAATGTAAGCGCTCCATCATTCGTCACGTAGTTTGCTGCTTTCAGTCGTGGGTTTTCTCACACGTAGTGGCAAGCACACTTTAAACCTTTGTTTGTGCCAGACAGAATAGTTTTTCTTTTGTTTCGTGTACTGCACACTGCTAAAAAACATGCTGCACTGTCCTAGCTACGACTAGCATGGCAGTCTGACCCAAAGCAGAACCAGGCTGCCGAGGTGAGACTCCTCACTAAAGATGCATTCTTTGGGATCGTCCTGGAATACCTTGGACTGCAATCACATGTCACTGAAGGGGAGCCTCCGATTTTGTAACTTTCTAACTCACCTAGGGCTCCGCATTGGTCCATTAAGAAGGCTCCCACAGTGATTGCTATGGTATGGACACACTGCCGAGATACGTTATGAACGGTTGAGTATACTGAGTGTAAAAGCTTCAGAAACGGGCATTAATTCGCACCGTCTCGAAGAAATAAATTTTGGAAACAAAATCAGACAAGGTCAAAATGCTGTTTTGGTGGCGATTTGGTCCACGTTTTTTTTTTCTCTCTTTTTTTTCACCGCATTTTTTTTTCTCTTCATTTTTCTCTCTCTTTAATGAGCGATGCAGCTTTTCCGACGAGCTGCCGAAAAAAAAAAAAAAAAAACCGTATGTACAGAGACTAGACCAGGATAGCGGTTAACGCCTGCCGCCGACTGTCAAAAAAGAACAGTGACAGTCAAAACAGAAAAAAAAAATGCTTACATAATGTACAAAAAGAAAGAGAGCTCTCCCCATCTTGTGGAAGGCGATGCTTATCTAAAGCGGTCGTTCGCGAACCTCAAAACGCCAACTAGGGTTGGCAGCTATCCTCTTGCGCACCTTGAGCGTCCTCAAAGCTGTCCTCGTGACCACTGTCCTCAGACTCGTACTCATTGCCACAACTCCCTTCCTCGTCCCGATGACCGTCACAGTGGTCGCTGTCGTCTTCGTGGCCAGACGATGACGACGTCGTGGTGGTCATACTGGAAGTTGCCGCCGAGCGTAACGTTACGTTAAGCTTCATCAGCGCCTGGTTCTCGTCCTGCAGTCGCAGAAGCTGCCGCTGCAACTCCTCGAGGCAATTCTGCGGGTCCAACTTGTGCAGCTCGTCGTACAATTCGGCGGCGCGGCACTCTAGCGCCGTGTACCTGTCGATCACTTCTGCCCGCGTCAACTGCATCAGTTCCTCGAACCTCGCGCTCCTGTACACAGCCTCGAAGTCCTTCTCGTAGAACTGCATCATGTTGCCGTAGTCGAGGTACTCGTAGTCCTCACCGGTGGGGAAGCCCGACTGCGGCTGCCCTTCTTCGCCGGAGTCATCAACGTGAGTGCCATAGTGGTGATGGTAGTGGCCACCAGACGACGGCTGAGCGTCGTCTGCTACGCGCGCATCCTCCGCTGCGCGGTCACCGTTGTCATTCGGGTAGGCCTCGAAGCTTTGGTAAAGCGCACAGTTTTCGTGATCGTCTATGATGAACTGCGTGAAATTAGCCGGAGCCTTGGGCACTACGCAGGGACGAATCATGACCTGTTTCTTGCGTTGCTTGGTTGGGCTGCACTTGACGGGACTAGAGGCATCCGACGATGACAACGCGGCATCCGGCTCGTCCCGGCCTTGACGGCGCTTCTTACCGCGACGCCTCTTGCGATGATGCTTGCCCGCGGTATCGAACACGAGCACTTCAGCTCCGGCGGGCGCGGTAGTAACGACCGTCATATCTTCGTCGGTTAAAGTCATCGGCCGATCTGCCGCCGCAGTTCCGTTCAGAGGCAGGGATGGATGAACGGTCGCAACACTAGCGATCATTCGGCGCTAAATATTTTTTTTTTTTTTCTAGATCCAGGGGTTGATCGCACAAAGCGCTAGTTACGGCTCACTTATAACGTGCGCACACAAACACGGTATTCAGGCAGGAGAGATGCGAGCCGCTTTTAGCAGCGGACACGCGAATCCCTGATAAAAGTCACGCGACTAAACCTGCAAAGGCAACGCGAGAGAGAAAGGCGTATCACCTTGATGTGACTTGAAGAGTTGGTAGTTGAAGGCCGGGCCGATCACACTCCCCGTGTTCTCCTTTCGAGGCTTCAGCAGACGACAAACTCGCAGACGCGGCCCACGTTCGGTGATGCCTTCTGAAAGCCAGTTGGTTCAATCCCAATAGCACGCGGCACTCCCTCTGGCCCCAAGATCAGCCTTCCTGCCACCGTGAATTGTCTTTGAAGCAGTCCGTTGAGAGAAAAGTCACAAGAAACGCACAACGTGTCGCCGATCGCTGCTGCGACATTACCAGGCCAGAACGAATCGCTCAACTGACGCTCTCAGGAGAAGTGACGTCGTATATATAAGGTTCGTGACGTCACGGCTACGGTTGTTTGTTCGACCAATGGTGGCGCGCTGGATATATTGGGAGGTATGAGAGGGCGGTATAATAAAGGGGAAGGGCGCAGAAGCTCGTTGTTGCAGACGTTTTCATTTTTATCCCTGTTTTTTTTCTTGTAGGCTCGCGCATGCCACGAAGCCAACGCGAACGTTGTAAATACGTCCGGCGCTTCGAATTTGGCGTTTCCAAACGAGAGGTTTTGGCGTGGCTGAAACATTCGTTCACAGTTCGTTTTGTACCGTTATATATATTTTTTAATCCTTCGTGCCGCGCTGTACCGTACAACTCAAAAGAGGGATCAGAGCTTAACGCGGAGTGCTTCTTCTTCACCCACTCAAGAAGCCTCGATCTGCAGTGGAAATGCGGAGGGCTATTGTTAGCAACGCGCGCAGAAAGGAGAGGCAATTTTACGAAGTGTTACGCGACTCCCACTCTTTCAACAGGCACTCAAATGTAAGCATCGCTCGATCAATCGAGCTGTGTTGCGAAAGTGTGGATAAGCGCATGGCTTGGGCTTTCCTATGTACAACGTCCAAGCGTGGATTTTCGCTTAAAAGCCTCCAGCCATGGCATCTCCGGTGGTAAACTGACACGCCCAAGCCTTGCCCCCTGTTTGCATTTTTTTTTTTTTTTTTTTTACCGAGCGGGTCGAAGCTTGTTTCTTCCGAGAACCTTAGCTCGCGGAAACGATATCGACGATAATAGAGGCGCCGCGTCTTCAGTGCGAGTTCCACAAAAGGTAGTAGAAAGCACTACGAACGACACAAAAGGTATAGGCGCACACATTTTGTACGCAGCGGAGACAAGGGCGACAGGGTTGAATACATTTGTCACGCAAGTTGATTACTAAAAGCCCCCTAGCGGCAAATAAAATTTAAAATAAGATTTGTTATTTGCAACTAGTGTTGTTTTATAATATTACTTATTTTTATGTTAAAAGCGTTTTATTGAAGTGAAAATAACGTATACTTAGTTTTGTGAAAATTTTATTTTGTATTAACAGCAGCGCCTATAGAAGGTTGAGCGCGGGGGTTCTTTTCCGCGCTTTTCGTTACATCAGACGTCCATCTCAACATGTGGATACAGCCTCTCGCATCTCTAAACAAATATTGCGTCTTTGAGAAGGATTTCATATTTAGATCGATATTCGCCTGTTGCCCTTCTTGATTAAAGGGCTTCCTAGGTTTTTAAGGCTAGACCTATTTGGACGCGATGCCGAAAGGGAAGAAGAAATCCAAGTCGGGTGAGTGGCGATCGAGGCCTAAAATCAGTGCTAGTCATGCGAGTGTTGTGTCAACTTTCGTCGTCCACGCTGCTAAACTGACATTTGTTAACTCGCTTTGCCGTGGTTAACTTGATCCGAGATCGAAAGTGACTTTGAGCTAACGTTCGGCGTGAAATTCCACTCCGCAACGAGACCGAGCGGACGAGTTTTCGCAGGCATCGGACCGACCTTGCACGTCCCCCCCTTCCCCCTTCCGAGTTTGAATGAAAATGTCAGCTCCCATATGTTGGCGACTTCTGACGCGACGGTCAGACTGTCGTGTTTTAAATCGCCTTACACGTACTCGAAGTGGCGCTGCCTGTAGGGAGGCTTGTGTTTAAAAGCTCTAAATTAAATTGAGTCGAGTGACAGGGTTTGTTTAAAGCTCTGCCAGGTCCTTCTTCAAGGTCGCCATTCCACTGGTTTCACTAGTGCGCTTTTTTTCCTCGTAGCTCGTGGCGTTACCACATCGCTTACTTGCTCATATTGCAGCAGTGTACTTGAATGAGACAAAAGTAAATTGTATACACTATTGCGGGAGTTAAATGGTGTATATATGCATTCGCGTTCATTACCCAGCAAAAAAACATTCCAGTACTCAATTGTGCGGAAAGCTAAAGCGTAGACGTAAAAGATGTTTGTGCGCGATGCTTACGGCATGGTATTGAAAATATGGCATTGACTGGCTTTTCAAGGTACTGAAAAAAAGTCAAATAACTCAGGTAAGAGCAGTCTTGCAGGTTTTGTGGGTTAAAACCTTGTGTCGCCTGAAAAAAAAAAAAAAAAAAAAAACCTTGCCAGGCTCTGTTGTTGTGAACTATGTTCACGCGGTAAGCTTCAGACCGCCGGAATCAAACGTGAAGAATCTCATGGTTTCAATCAGCTAGATTGTTCCTCGCAATAAATCGCTCTCCAAACGGGAGCCGCGGACAATCGCCCTTTTATTGTCCATTGAAGCGTATTCGTAGTTTGAGGGGCATTTTAGGAGCCCGTCGTTTTCTCTGCCATCAATCGTTGTGCCGAAATTACCTCGGTGAGCCACTAACCGACACTACGAGGCCACCGAGGTACGCTCGTTCTGCTGGCGGTGATCACGTGCTGTTCACGTGGCGCACACATTGAACGCGGTACCGCAGGTAATAACTTGTCTATTTCGATATTCTTGAGTGAGCAGCTATGAGTTATGCGTATGAATTGTCTGGATTTGTATGTTGCGACAGTCCAGAATATTTTGTTTTGATTCAAAGTCGTGCGCATGTTTCCTTTGACCTTCCTAAATTTTACGCGTGACTCGTAAGTGGCCGTTTTATTGATCTTTACATTAGTTAACGAAATGTTAAGTGTAGATACTGCTTTTCCAACAGTGACTGTAGAGATGGTTGGGATGAAATGCAGCCGTAACACATGGGACGTAATTCGTCACAACGTATTGGGAATGTGCTGTGTTTCCGTGCAGCCAGTAAAACTGCCTGGGGCTCCTGTTGTAAAAGGTCTTGTGCTCTAAAGACCCTTCGGGAAAAGTTCGTGATAGACTGTATAAATAGAGTGTAAATAAATTCGAATACGCCATACACCACTAGTGTTGGTGAATAGAGGCCTTGCTAAAATCTCAAAGTGGGCTTTCCTGCAAGAATATTTGCTGATCCAGAACTCTTCCACAGAAGTATTTGGTCTCCAAGTACTTTCACCCCTCCAACTCTGTGTTCATGCCTCCAGTTAAAAAAAAAAAAAAAGCAATGTGTCAGCACTACAAAGGGTTCTCAATGTTTCACATGTCTGCAGACTTGGTAAAAAAAAAGAAGGGATAATTCTTTCAAGGGGCTCCCACTTTTTGTTAGACAGGAATAATCCAGACAAAGCATAGGAGATAGGGTTTGTCTTGATATCTTGGTTAGTATTCTTGATTCTTTATACAAATACAGACAGTCTATAGGCATTTTTCTCCCATGCATCCATACCCTCTCCAGGCTGGGCAAAAAGGTGTGACTCCCCCACCCACCTGTTAGGCTGTGGGGTCCCCTTTTGTACTCCTGTGCCCATATTGTTTCTTCTGCAGGATTGAGAGATAAGAACCTGTGCCTAGGAGTACCAAGGCTGACCACACAGCCTTGACAGTGCATTTTGAGGGAGTCCCAGAAAGCCTCTTTAGTCTGTCTAAATCCATTTTTTTTTTGTATGGGATAGTAACCTCTTTGCACAGATGAACAAGGCAGAAAGGAAAAGCATGCAGGGGTGTTGAAAAAAAAAAATCATGGGTCTGCTGCTGTGTGTTCACAGCTGTGGATAACCCTTTTTAAACTATTCTTTTCATTCAGCACTGGTCCCTGGCTTTTTGTGTGTGTGTATATGAGTGTGTCTGTCTCCCCTTTTCTTCCCACACCACAGGGTTTAGTGTGTGAGATTCCAGCAGTGATTTCTGTAAAGCCTTTGTGCTGCTCTAGCACCTTCACTGGTATGTGGAGGGGCCAACAATTGCTCTGCCTGAAAAGCATTCACCAGGTTTTTGCAAGGTATTCAGTTGAGGATTTAGGAAACACCAGAAACATTTTTATTCAAGGGGCCCCCCTTTCTCCATCTATGTGACTTTTTCCCACCCCATTCCAGTGAAAGTGCCCTAACACTACAAAAGCTTATGAAAAAATTACTATAGAATTGCCGCCTGATTGCTGGCCCTCAAGGCTGTTTCACACATTGCGATTTCAGAGGGGAAAAAAATCGTTTCATTCGCTTCATTGTTCGCTCTGTTCACAACCACATAATAGCGGTTTGTTTTCACATGGGCTGCAAATGCTCTGGGACTGGAGCGACAAGCAATGTTTTTTGCCACCGTTCTTTGCGGCAGACACTACAGAATTTCTCAAATGTAATGAAATAATCTGTGTTTTATAATATTATCAAGTTTTCGTGAACAAAATGAAAAGCATGTGTGTTTCATCATTTAAGAACATTTTCCAATCTAAATCCACTTTCAAATGTGCAAAATCTGCCATTATCAAAACAAACACGTTAACACAGTTTTGACAGCATGGCTGGCCTGCCTGGCCCAACCAAACAATAGCTCCGCTGCTGCGGTCAGAACGGAAAATTTACATGTTGGCTGCTCACCGCAGACCACTGCGGCGAAAGTGGACCCCCCTCCCCCCCCTTTTTTTCCACTGCAAGTGGATTTGCAGCCTGAAAATCGGTACTTTTTGCATCGTGTGAAACGGCCATCAGACTACACTTGGCACCAAGGAGCCACTTTGACTGGAATCGCGAGTTGCCTCGGAGTAGTAGCGGTCCATGAACTGTAGTCGTACGCATTTAAGAAGTCATCAGAACCAGCTCGTCAATGTATGACTAAAGAAATATTGTAGTGTTTCAACAATTACCGGAAGTACTGGTGAACGTACTCAAATGCATTTTTCAAAACTTACTGTGAGGTTGCGAGGTTCAGCTTACTAAAGGAGCTTGTCATTAGGGGCAAGCATTAAGGACTGGGAGGCCATAGAGCACAACGAGCAAGAAAGGAGTATTTCAATCCTTACAAGGTTTTCCTGGCATATTACTACAGTTCACTATAATACTCCATTCTTTAGTCCCGTCCATTCACTGCAAACTTCTCTGAAGGCCGGGCCATCCATTGGTGCAGGGTTGTGTGGATCTGCATTTGAGGAGGCGTTGCCCAGGACTCCTAAGGTATTCAGTAAAGAAAAAGAAAAAAAGAAAGCCTTGCAAGAACGATGACTTTCTGATTTTTGCAAATTGTCGATTGCACTGAATAAGCTTTTCCTTGTAGCCTTGTGCTTTTCACTCCTAATTCTAGTGAATGCACACCAATAACACAAGGTTTTTTTTTTTTAAGCATTCCGGCATTACGGAGGCTATTTCGCTAATCTACAACAATCTTTCGTTACCCGTTAAGAAATAGGAACACGCGGACAAGACCAAGTAACGAGCTTGAATACATGTGTTGTTTCGGAGAAAGGCACTAGTAGTGTCGACTAATTTGTAGACTGTGACTGACCGAAGGTTAAAATAAAAGCACAAATCATAACAGTGTGCAAGCGTCTGTAATACTCATCTCAGTCTTGCTATCAGCTGAGATGCTGTTGTGCAGTAAATACGGCGCGCAGTGTGCCAGCGAATTTAGAATGGCCAATTTGTTACGCCTTTGACAATGGCACAGCTGGAGTAGCTCGAATGCAGCAACAGCAGAACCGTGCATCTGGACGAGCAAACAAATGCTTCTTGTTCGTGGATTCTTTGTGCCTTGCTTGTTTGTGGTCTATGTCAGAGTCAAGCTCACTTTTGCATAAAGGACGTGACGCTTCTGCATGTGAACTCTGCAACTCATTGCGGGCGGAGTTTTTAGATGGGCTTGTGTAAGTTAATACAAATACTGAAAAAAAGTGGTGAAGAAAACCCATTTGGTTATTTCCGCTCCCATGTCAATATTCTAGGACTGGTTTTAATTCCTGCTGATGTAGCTTTTGCTTGTACTGTAATACCACGCCAAATAACCCAAGCTCTGTGCTTTGCTGTCTAAGATTACTTTCTGGAAAATTCATCGTTACTGACTGCCTATTTGTCCTTGCACACACATTTTAGAATAAATCATGCTTTATTAGCTTGTTTCAGCAATTTGGATATTGTAGCAGTGGCCAAAATGCATGTTGCTGGAAAAAATATTAGTATGTGGGCTATATTAAAGACCTACTAGGTGCTAGAAAGGAACCACACTTTGTCACAGCGGCCCAGTGACGGCTGCTGCTGTGCACCCTCAGTGTGCTTTGAGATTCAGCACGGTGCTAGTTGGGAGCTCCTTAGGATGGGTTTTATGAATTTCTACAAGTGTTGCGAAGATGATACAGTCTCATCGATGGGTTTTATGAATGTCTACAAGTCTTGCGAAGATAATACAGCCTCATCTTACAGTTGTAAGCTGGCGAAAAGTGGGAAAACAGTGTTGAAAGCCGTCCGTACTTTCGGCGAGATGAAGGCACAGACATTGATGAATGTGCGACATCTCACATTCTTTAGTGATTGGGTGCTATATTCTCATTCAATAACACTATGATAACAATTGCAATAATTGGTTGGGCTTTACATCACAAACCATAACACTGTTCCACTGCTCTCATTCCATACTTGGCCTTTGGGCCATGACAAACTTGCGAATCATCATCATTTGTGCTACTTTCTGCTCCACGTTGCATTTGTCTGCTTTGCTTGTTACCTTCTCTAGTTCAGTGGCCATTTTTGTTGCCATCATCTTTGTCATCAGTGTTGCCAAACCCTAAGCTAGTCATTGCTAGGATGTAGACATCTTGCCGCTTTCGTAAGCGTCCCCTGTTCTTTCAGCTGGCTGCCACTCATATCTGGATACTGCTGGCCTTTTCATCTCATTTTGTAGTGACCCTAATTTTTGCCAACCCTTGGCATTTGCTCAATCTTTCTAACAGATCAGCTGTGATAGATCAGAAAATTATTGTGATTGCATGTAGCTCTGAGAGACAAGAAGGCCAGCCAAACATCACTGTATGCGCTTGGCTGTCATGACAGATTATTTTTTCTATAAGCTCTCACGAGGAAAGTTGTCAGCCTGATTACTGGAGCTGCTGCGGACGAAGGCTACACATTCGCAGGAATCGCGCGTTTATAGCAACTGAGCATGTCGTAAAAGTTAATGCGGCAAGGCAGCTGATGATGTTGCCCCTTCTTTGGCCATTTCAGGTGGCACCCTTCGGGGATCCCGGCTTGAGGCCGGACTGGCACCCTCGAGCAGCGACGACGAGTCCAACGCTGACACAGCCAGCGTGCTCAGCTGTGCGTCAGAATCTCGATGCGGCAGTGACAGCACTGGTAACTGTGGCAACAATCTTTTTTTTGCCAAATAATGCACACTGGTGCTGATTATTAGTAAAGTGGCAGTAAAATTGTAGCCTAGGAGAGAAGGGTCTGATAGCGCGGCAAGTTCATTTGTGCTTGTACGAGTACCAAGGAAACCTGCCTACAGTTACACTGCCACAAACTTTCACAAACTGGTAGCCTCGTCAAAGGTGGCCAGTCCTCTTGATCTTTTTTTCTCTCCTCTTCCCTCTGCTCAAAGCTGGGGGTACAAGCTCATACCTACCAAGTGTCCCAGATTTTCTGGGAGACTCCCGGATTTTGAGCAATTCTTACGTTTGTACAGTTGTGAGGAAAATCTCCCGGAAATCGAAATATCTGTGCGTGATCTGACTGCATTGATAAAAATGCAGCCCAATCCGATTCAGGTTTTTTGCGAAGTCATCATATTTTAGTTTAAACGAATTTGAAAAGACGTTCATCTAAGCGTAGAGTAAAATCGTACAGTAAAACCAGTATATACAAAATTCACCATGAAATTATCCAGCTGAATTTCACTATGTCGACAGATTCGGGATGTTCCGAACATTTTTTTCTCATCGGGGCGGGCCGTATGAGTTTAGTATCGAAACCGTCAAACGAACGTTGAGAGCAACTTGCGCGAAGCTTCGTATGGATGCATGCGGCTAGTGCAGGCATTGTCACAACTGTGGTTATCGTTTGCCACAACCGCTGTGGACGAAACCGCGGTCGCTCTTGACACAATCATGTATAGGGACCCAAATCATTTTGATGGCGTTGCGACTCTAGACAGGCAGCGCCTTCTCTGACAGAAAAATGGAAATCGGGGATGTACCTCACGGCATGCAAAAAAAGAAACAAAGATCAGACAGTCATAGCATTAAAAAGCCTGATAAGCTTCGAGTTCTGTCCTCTGTACCACTGGAGCATCACCCACTGACTAAGCTGCGAGACAGCTAGCTTAGCCTTAACCGTTGCGAAATAAGTTGAACTTCTACTTTTTTTTTTAATTCTCGCATGGTGTTTGCGCTCCTATTATAAGAATATCGACTGTACAGGTGTATCAGGCCCGCAACGTGAACGCGGCTCAGCGTGAGAGGTGCCGAATAGTAGGTAAGATATGATATCGGGTGCGCGACGAGCTCACGCTATTAGCACACACGTAAACGCACACTGGAAGCACTCTGTGGAGCGTAACACGCATACTTGCGGCGCACGTGAAAAAAAAGCCGCACATCTGCTAATGTATTAAGCACCATTTCGATTGAGCGGTTTGAATATATGCCACCCTAATGAAGCGACAAAAATAGAACACACCAGCAAGGCGATGTCAAAGTTTTCTGAAAATGCACAGACGTTCGTTCCAGCGCTGTGAGGCAGCCTTCCCAATGCGTAAATTGCTGGTGGCTAACCGTTAACAATGTGCGCAGTTTGGTTGAAGGTAACCAATAACGCAACGCTAACCGCAATATGGCTTATGTAAGTGTGAACATCCAACGACGACACCTACGTCTCACACACACCAGAAATGAAAACACAAAGTTGTTTCAGTTCGTGTTGCGTACTGGTTCATGTAGCCGAAACAAATAATTTCAAGCGAATTCAGACAATCAAAATGGAGTAGGAAACAGAGCTAGAGCTTACTTTATTTTTTTAACTGCGCTGATCCATGCTTGTTTTCTTTCCCTATTGTGCAACTTGTCCAACAACCGATAGGTACTGTCTGCACTCTCGTGCAGAGAACAGTACTTCGGACCTCGCTGACGCTTCCGTGTGGCCTCTTCTGCCATTGCGAAAAAGCAGCGTCAAAGAGCGAACGTCTTGTTCCCCGCACCGACTTTAGAATGCGTGCCGCACATGCTCCTGCTGCTGTGAAACACACTGAACAGCTTGTGCCCTCCGCTCCGCATATCCCCAATTTCCTTCAGCTTGCAAACTCGCCGCTCCGCAAACTTGAGCTTTGGGTCCCTATGGCGACAATGTAACTGGCAGAACTACGAAAGTGCAGGAGCATCCAACGCTCGACCAGTCCAAGCAGCACTGCTTTCCAAAAACGCCATGGACGCAACTGTGGCGGACGCGATTATGGATAGCAAAAAATGACTTAGCCTTGTAGGCACGTGCGCAGCCAGCAATGCGGATTGAAAACAGAACTACCATTGTCTGAAACCGCGGTCTACTAGCAGACTACTAGCCGTGGGCACGCGGTTAACTCAGCCTTAGAATAGGGGCACTAAAAACGTAAATAAAGCTATAGAAGCGCTGTGGCATCTCTGTCCAAAGAATCGAGTAACGTTGTTCCTATCCACCTGTGTACTTTAGCATTCAGTTTTCAGTTGGTCTCAAGCTAAGCTTCGACTTGCGCTTTCGCCGCAGCTGGCTGCCACTGATATCTACTAAGGGGAGCTGGGTGGTGCAACGAGCGTGCGCAGTTAAAGCCGCCGGAAGCCACCATTGTTGTCCAGGAAGCCACCGCCATGAACAGTCGGTTGATGCTGATGCTGGGGCTTTTCTCTTCTTTGTAATGAAATGCCAGCCTGTAGCGCAGTAAACTGTATGAATCTACCGGAAATGTCAGCAGGTGCAATCACACCGAAGTACCTCAAAATTATATTAGTTTTACGTATTCTGCGAGAAAATTTTGGTAGTTAATTGCCTTTTTTTTTTTTTTTGACGAGGTGTGTTGAAGGTCCTTAGTTTTCTTGATATGCAATTTCCCAAGCTCAAGACCTCAAATATACGAGAAGTGGAACAGTAACTCAAAGAGACACAACTGAATGCCGTCTCTAAAAATCAGACTTTGCAGTGACCATTTTGCAGTAATGTTTTGAGCGCTCAGTTCCAAAGAGTCATCTTCGAAACAATGCCATCCCAACGCGGTTTTCTTTCCCGGATCATTTACAAACGAAAAAAACTGTTGCGCTCCTGACTACTATGATATTCCGGGACAAATTTTTTTTCTGTTACCTGACTTATAAGTAATTGCAAAGTTGTACATTGCAGCATTCCGTCGTATTCTGACGGCGTCGCTACGTCGTCTGTAATTTTTCTTGTTGCGTCAATTGGCGTTTCAAGTGATGCCTTAGCATAGGGTTTGTTACAACGTCCGTGATTTTTTTTGTGTAGCGTTGGGAGACCTTGAGAATTTTATGTTAAAAAACAAAAAATGGGATCATAACAACTTCTACCAGATATTTGATTTACATGCCTAAAACGCCTAGAAGACGCCAGCTTCTGGGGCAGCGAAGGGAACTTCTGGTGGCTGCACAAGTGCCCGCATGGGAGAGTCGTCCAGCCTTTTTAATGGAGGTCAGTGCTGGTTGCGCTGTCCCGTCCGTTCACGTGTATCCCAGGAAGACATACGCCTGTTCTTATGACAGTGATAGATTTTGCTTGTTTTGATGACGTGAAATTTTCTGAGATACGAATATTTCCACACCCCTTTTGAAACTCGCCCCTTCTACTGTAATTGGTAAATCCTACACTCGTACGCTTGACAATGACGATGTTTACGACCCCTCTCCCTCTTGCGGTATTTTTCACGATGTTTCTTTTTTCTTTTGATGCAAACGGGGAGGGGCAAGTAAATCTATGCGACCCCCTCCTCTATTGTTTTTGCTGGATGGTTGCTAGCGGCTAGTCATGACCATTTGGCAGTCTAAGGCTAGTGTCCTCCTAACTTGTTCTCCAGTGACTTAGCAAGTTTCATTTACCGCTCTCAAAAAATATTTCTTTTGGAGCTGTTTTTAGTGATTGCACAGTGTGTACTTGTACCTTTTGTCACCTGTGTATCCGTTTTTCTTTTTTCCTCATTTATCCCACAGTTGGTGAGGCAGATGTTGAGGATGGCGGTGTGCTTCACGACGACTTTGAAGACAAACTTAAAGAAGCAATTGAAGGAACATCTCAAAAAAGGTACGCCCGCACCTGCATTTGAGTCACTTGTGCGAAATCACTGAAGCCCTTTCTCTGCGCACATCGTTACAGTGCCAAAGGTCGCCTCTCATGCCTGGAAGCCATTCGCAGAGCTCTGTCCAACAGATACCTGTACGATTTTCTCATTGAACGGTCAGTATCCTCTCGTAAAGAAATTTTTTTTTTATTGTCACAGAAATGGTAGTAAATCTGACACTAATCTTGCAGCTAACCTTCGATTTTTTTATCAGCGGTGCTGTCAAACCTCGTTACTACGTACCTGCGTTAAGCATGTGAACGGTTAAAATGTAGTCGAGACAAATCCCCAACTGAGTCTCATACGTATATAGAGACTAGATCATTTGCGTACTGCTTAAGTTGTAGTGTTCGGTTTATGCCTATCACTTAGAGCATACTAACTGCATACCGCCATAACATGTTGAAACAGACAATATTACTGCGCCGCTGAACTTGCAGATGGCACAATGTGCCATGAATGGTTTTCTATCATGTTGAGAAGCACGGAGATCAGTTGGTAAGTTGTTTCGACTCCTGCGAGATTGCGCGGCGATCACATTGGCAGCAATCATTAAAAAAAATGAAGGCAATGTGGCGACCACTGACAAGCACGCCGGTATAAGTTATCGCCGCGAAAAGCTTTATCACAGTAAGCATACCTGGTTATCTGTTCGGGCATGCATGTGGCATCGTGTCACTTTAAACTTACTGCACACTTTAAATGGCCACTCACCAGGTTTGACAATTTTGAGCTGACAAGGGCAATTGAGACGAGTCGTTCATGATCACGGCTGCCAAAATTTTTAACGCTACGCGGCGTGGAAATTGGTTAAATTTCAAGATGAATGCTACTCCCCTTCTCTTCTGCCGGCGCACGCCTAGAGAATGAGAGCATCACGTGGGCATATGAATGGCGCTATGTACACGGCAATGCAGTGACGTTGGTCCTCTACGTAGTCTACTCTGCTCTGACGTTGTCAACAGTATACCATGTGACATGGCAAAAATGATTTAACACAACACGCGTAGTTTATGTATTTGTTGCTTTAAGAGTATAAAACTTGAAATAAATAATGAGATCCAATAAAAAGTTGTCCCTGTTTTTCTTTCATTGTTTCCCGTGAAATACTACGAGGTTCGGGGCTAATGCGCCAGCGTTTCGCATGCGTTCATGTCCCCATGGTCAGCGCATTGAGCAGACGACTATCGTGGAACGCTCCTACGCGTTCGCACACTCATTGTGCTCATCTACTCTACCGCATCTAAGCCAACATTTCCAAGCCATCCCACAGAAACAGGCAGAAGACCACAAAATAACGCTGGTCAATAAAGCAACACTGCTCGCATGCTCCGAGTTTGGACTTGTTTGGGCACGTCTTGCGCACTTCACCTCATGGTTGGATGCTGGAGAAGGTGGGGCAGAGATTTGGCTTGCGAATGCTACGCGGAGGAGCGACAAGGGTTTCGAGCTCGCCTCCTCTCATCCTCATTTCACGCCGCTTCAAAAAACCCGTTTTCTCCGTTCGTGATGAACTGATTAAAAAAAAAATTTTGTGGCAAAATGTTTTTCATTGGACACCCAACAACTTCCACTGTCTAACTGAAATTCGGTATGGGGCCTGGTGAGTGGCCCTTTAAGTAGGCGACTATCTGAACGCGCTGGGTCGCCGGTAGCTGCCGCTTTACAGAAACGAAAGCAGCTCGCTGTCGCGAAGTTTAGTGTTGAGGTTCGCAGAATTGGTCCGGTGTTACGCCAACATGCACGCACCGTAGAGCAAGCGTAGAGCTGTGGTGACTATGCTGCAGGCTTTTATTCAGCGACAGCCCAAACGCGCCTTCGTCCGCTGCCAGGACTTCTAGAGAATCGCAGAGAGCGCATTGCTTACAGAAAGCTAGGCGTCACTGCGTTAGTAGCCGTAAAGGAGTGGGCGTACTACTTAAAGGGAGTGGGCGTACTCTACAGCAAGCGGATCGGCAGTCACGGTGTGCGCCGAGTAAGCGAAGTACTAGATGCAACTAGCAATGCAGCAAACGATTTGGCCCTTTGCGACTGTACACTGTACCGCGTTTAAAAAAAAAAAAAACTGCATCAGTTTTTGCCCAGGAGCAGACTGTGGAACAACTGTATCGCGGACAGCCGATTGTGTCCGTTCTGTAGCTGTACCACCTTCCGAATCCTGGGCCCTGCAGTATAGTTTCGAAATGCTTCTTGGCGTCACCACCGCATGCTATCAGGCAGTTGTGCGAGGGTCAGAATCTATTCCGCACTTTGGCAAAAAGAAAGAAAAGGCTTTGCAGTAAGCAGTTTTGGCAGTATTTCATGGGACGCTGAATTTATTTCTTTGTTGTCGGTGATGGTGCATGTCAGGAGTAGCAAATTTGTAGGTGGTGGTTATGCGTAGTAAATTTAGCAGGTAGTTATGCTGCCATCCCCGGCATGTACGTATTAACGGGGTTTTACTGTAGTGATATTTTCTGACACCCTTGTTGTGGTCTGTAGCTCTACTGCTTTAGTTGTCTCGTTTGCTCATGCATCGAAAACAAAATACGTGGCCAATGATGGGACAAATTTTATCGTCTACAGCCCTTTGCTCCGACCCAATCTTGTGACACGTGCATTGATTGCATTGGGAAGTACATGCTAAAGCGCACTTGTTTGCATCACTTACTGTGAAGTCACAGATGTAAGACTGAAGTGTTCATGTGAGACAAATCTACCCCACAATTTGTATAATTGTAAATCGTTTCACTCGACTGCACTTGTTGAACCTGCATAAATATTTTTTACACTCCGCAAGTCTGGTGCTCTCTTGGATGCAGGCCAACAACTGTTTGCGACTTCGTGGAGCGTGGCCTGCGCAAAGGTCGAGGCGAGGAGCAGGGTGTGTCAGCCACCCTGGCCGCTCTGGCCTGTGTTCACTACGGGGCCGGCGAAGAGGCGGCTAGCCTGTTTCAGACATTGCTTCAGCCGTTGACCACTCTGCTCTTAGACACAGCGCAACCTCCATCAGTGCGAGCAAAGGTGTGCATGACATTGTTCAAAAGAGACCCCTAAAGCTGAACGCTGAATGAGTTTTGTCTTGACGTTCATTTCTCATGTTGAGGGATAGATTAGATTAGTTAGAGCGAAAGCGCCCTCCTTTCCCCCCCTTTTTTACTGAAGGGAACGAGGCAAAGGAGCCTCATGAATGCAACCGTACGAACAAAGTGATGTAGATGCAGTATCTATTGTAGTTTTGAACTCGGTAGTAGAAAATTACGAAACAAAGAAAAACAAAAGTGAATGAAAAGACCACCTCCTGTCGGGATAGTCTTACTCAGCTCGACTTGCAGTGCATTGCATGCACGTCCGAAAAGTTCTGGGGTCAACTCCCGTCGGTGGAGAAATCTTTTTTCTCCCACTTTCATGTCCCGTTGTCTTGTAACTACTAAGCTTCAATTAAAATCTACAAATAATGCCATAGATATACAATAAGGCCAAATTTGGTTTTAACTCTGCAAAGTCACAACAATACAAAATCGGGGGGCATTAAATTTGCTAAATGGAACCTCTCTTGGCCAAAATTTCGGGATGCAGGCTTGGCAGTTGTTAGAGGTTGATAGCGATCCGCGATCCTTGTGCCTATGTGGCATAGGTATTATTGACAGGCCAGTCCTCAGGCCAACGGAGTCCCGATTTCTCCTTTCCGTCACTTTTCTTTCAGTGTGCAACAGCCCTTGGCCTTTGCTGCTTTGTGGCAGAGTCGGACAACTATACAGTGAGTGTGCATTGATCTTTCCGTAATGGCTTGGCACAATGCCATTTTTTGGCTGAGTGCGTTTACTTGAGTGGGGGGGGGGGGGGGGGGGGCACGTAATGTATGAAGCAGTGATGTTACTGGTAGTGCTCTTGGGGTTTGCTCATGCTTGTGATTGGCAGAAGCTGTATGACCAATTGAGACTAGCTCACGCCGGCAGTTATGACCGGCTTGTTGCCGTACCAAAGTGCTATGCTGTTCCTTTCTGCTTGCGTCGCCGCCTCATAAAATAAGCAGACATCCTGTTTCCGTGCATCTGATTGGATCGCAAGCTTTGCAAATGCTGTCACATGACATGCGTCAAACAAGCAAGCGACTTACCCAGAAGTTTCTTCTCAACCAAAGCACTAATTTGACAGTTGAACTTACCGACTCCAATACATAAATGCCTTGAAAACTTCATTGTCGTAACTGCTAACTGCTATAATTGGATCGCATAAAGATGAAACATATTAAAGAGGGCAGGAAGTGGAAGGGGCTGCAAGACTTGTCGTTCCTGTCGTGCCAATTCGGCTGCGCCCTTCCTCTACAGTGGTTTACGCTGGCTCACTTAATACAAAACGTGGCCCTCTCTTGACTATACTTTGCTAATAATAGCAACAAACCTGCTGACTTCTTTTACCTGCAGCAATGTTTCCGAAATGTGTAGCTATCTAAATTGGCTCTGCCATCTAAATTGGCGCTCGAACATTCTCACTCATAGCAGATTAGCTGCAAGATAAGACACTTGTTGCACTATCTCCCATCCTATTGTACTGTCACTGGCATACCCTCTCCCTAAGTCACGCTTTTATCTCCCCTCTGCTCTAACATTCACTATGCTGTGTTCGGTAAGACAGCACACGTCACCAACATTCTTCTGGGCTTACTCACACCGAGTTTCCCTAGCTCACCAGACGCTGTAGGATATGGAGTGAAGAACGTCGACCAAAATCCATGCATGTTCAGAAGGCAAGTCTGAGTGTAAATGCAGAGAAGGCTGGAAAACTGAGTATTCCCTGAACGAATACTAGTATTCACACAGGGTACTGTAGTTTTCTACCGCACAAAAAAAACGTACAGAGAAAGGCGGGACAGGCCCTGAAGCTACATTATGATGTACCAGCACACCCAAAACGCTAAGTCGCATGGGGTACAGAGCTTGCATCATTTTTTTTTTTATTCAGCAATTTTTCTTCTTGGCCGCCCAGTGGTCAGATTTAGTTGCTATTACAGATAATGTGGCTCTTCAACCTTGCAGTAAGTGCTTTATTTCATACCAAACTTTTCCCTGCTACGCTGAAAGTCCCCCCACCCACTGTGTGAATGAACCCTCTAAGCAGCAGAGTGCTTATCAAAGGTAGATAAATCCACTCAAGGACAGCATGTCAGTGGTGTGATGAAAGTGGTGAGAACTGGAAACTTGGAAATCAGCTGACCGAAAATGGGCAATTTGAGATAGTATCTGGTTGTAGCAGCAGAATCATGCTGCTGCTTCTACTGGTAGTGACGGTGATGTTGATGAATAGATGTGGCTAATGTTGATTCTTTTTTGTGCATTTTATTGGGAGCAACTGCACATAAAAGCCGAGATAAAATGTTGCAGTATCCTGCTCTAGAGCATGCCAAAGGCGGGGGAGATTAGCATTGAACTTCAGGCAACTCAACTTGTGCGCAAAGCGCAGCCGTCGCAAGAGGAGTATGATGTGGGTGTTTGTGACTTGCATCGTTCCTTCACTTTTCTGTAGTAGTCGTCACAATAGGCACTTCGTCTGCGACAATGATATGAATTTGTTTGTCCATAATCACAACATAAAGTAAAGCTTTTGCACCTAACTACAGATCTTTCTTTTTAGATGGGGCACCATATACTTTTCTGCTTGAACAGGATGAATAGACCCTTTTCGAAATTCAGTGCCACCTATCGAACAAAACCGAAAACCCCTTTTTTCCGTCATGTCTTGTTCACCCAAGGGACACTCATTGGCGTGCCATCTGAACGCAGTACACATCCTGCAGGAATGCAAGCAGTGTGCGTGTGCGCTGCAAGGAACACTCATCGGCGTCGCTGGGACACACAGCCCGCCAGCTCACACGAGTGAACAAGATATGGTGGAAGAGCCATGTTGTCAGACTGCATTTCCTAAAGGGTCTATTGTACAATTTTGATCACACATTCAGGATTAAAAAAGAACATCAGGAGTTGAAATGTTTGCTAGGAGTTGATGCACTTTGTACTTTTATAGCCTTTTTAGTGCTCATGAACTTCAGCACACGACTGGGCTCTACTTTCAATGGATATTTACATTTGCCAGTTAGCTTTGGGGGTTCTCTCTTCAATAGTAAGGTTGACCCGCTGACTAAGTGACTCACTGAATGGTCTGTTGATGCAGAGATGGCGAAACTCTTGACCTTTTAATGTGAGCGAACTAATTGATTGATTGATTGCTGCAGCTTCATAGTGGCACGCAGTAGTCATAAAGCCGATGGCAGTGTGGTACAATTTAAGGAAGACCGAAATTTGGGCGAGTCGGTGCAGATTCGTTGTGACTAACAGCGCGAAGACACAGACATAGAGTGGAAGTGGACATTGTACATGAACACTCACTCTATTCGAAATAATTGGAAATTTTAACCGAAACAACTGGTAGATTTCTGCGGCAATGTGATTGTTCACAGGAGGTGCAGAGGTGCATGGAATCTCTGTGGCAGGCACTGTCAGGGGCCAAACCATCGACCGGCAACAGTCCCACCACTGTGGTGCACAGTGCGGCTCTCTTGGCTTGGGGTCTCCTGCTCACCGTGGCACCTCTGGACAGGCTGTTGGCACAGGCCAAGAGGTATGGGCTGCAGTGGCTAAACCTACAGCTCTCATCTCGCAATAATAGCAGCCTTATTGTGAACCATCACTCAAGGTTTCTACGAACTTGAAAAACCTGAATTGTTGAGGAATTTAAAGGGGTACTGACACAAAAATTTTCACTTATCGTTTTGTTGCGTCAAATTATGGGCCAAGTCCTCGGGAGCGTAGGGAACATGCTGGTAAGCATGAGTGCGTCGTGTAAAATTAATTACCGCATGCTTTTAAAAGCTAATTTCGGTTCTTACTGTATGCGACGTTGTAACATGGCATGAGCAGCGCCACAAGGAGGTAGTATGTGCACGCAAAAGTTTTCCTGGCGTATCCTCATCCACATGTCGCTTCTTTGATCATCAGCTGCGCGCCGCACGTGTGGCAACTGTCACGGCAGGGAGGTCGCACAACGTTGGGATGACATCATCTTTGTCGACAATCCGAAGTCGGTCAGCAACTGCATGTTGTGCGCGTACACGTCCGGAGTGAACTGCAGTGAACTGAGCAAAGTCCGCTTGGTTGGCGTCCAGCCTTGACCGTGGCACAACGAAGTCAATCCATGCATGTGTCGACGCTGGATCGGAAGGGAATTGGTGGGAACTTGCACCTGATTTTCCAGTTTTACAGACATGAGATTTGGCGTGGCAGATTTTGCTGCTGCGACGGCAAATTCAAAATCAAATGATTCCTCTGCCCTCTGGTCAGCGGGCACATTGTATTTGCGGGCACGTACACTATTCCTGATTCTGCTAGCTCGCTTCATAGGTACGCTGGATGACAGTGACCGCACCATCGCACGGCGCAAGGAGATGATCAAGAAGGCGACGTGCAAGCTGCCATTTTTTGTGTTTTGGTGCTTGACGTCATCATAACTTGTCAAACTGCTGTGTGATGTCACCAGGATTAGTACTGTAGCCTGACGTCAAGTTAGTGTATAGGTCGGTAGGTGTGCCCCAAGAAAATTGACTTTATAATCAAAGATATCAGCATTTTCTGTGTGTCACACTTGCTCATAGCCATCTCTGTATACAGGGCATTTGTATGGCAGAGTAAACTTGCCTTTGAAAAAAAGGTGTCGGTACCCCTTTAAACATATCGGGAAAAAGTCGGAGAATTGTCAGAAAATATGTAACTGGGTCGCAGTCCGTGCAGCTGTCCTGAAAACGATCTTTACATTTGGTCAAAGCTTATAAAGTCTCTTTTTTTCTGGGGCTACACTGTTTTATATAACGCACAGGTTCGCTGTTACGAATATAGTAAGTGAAGAATAGCTGTCATAAATACAGTGCTACAAATATATGTTTATAATGAATTTTTCAAACTAACGAAGAAGTTTTATGGCAGGTGCAACTTATAATGAGGTTTGAGTGTATAAACACCTTGTCAACGAAGGCTCCCTGGGCGCCACCATGGTGCTGAGGCTCCCAGGGCACCTCAGCACCATAATTTAGCTGCAAAGTGCTAAAGCCAGCAAGCGCCGTGCCCAGAAACGTGTTTGAAACATTTACTTTTTGGTTTCATTGAAACGATTATAGTTTCGACTTTGTAAAGGCTGTGATCGCTCTAGGAGCAGCCGTGAACTTTTAAAGGCTATGTGTTGTATTTGTCGCATACTGGGAAGCAGCCCCCGCTTCGGGGGAGCGTTAATTGAAAGACTCCGCGGCGAAGAGGGGGAGGAGGGGCAACTCGGAGGGACTCGTTTTCGGGTGGTTCGCGTGACGGGCAATGCGAAAGGAGCGAAGGGCGTCCTTGACATCTGTTTTACCTACAAGCCCAGCCGTGAAGGGAAAGGGGGGGTGAGGGCCACAATGACCCTTCTCGAACACGCGGAAAGCGTTTTGTCCATCTGTCCTTGAAGACCGTCGCACGTGCGGGGTGCGGAGGAAACTCTTTGACAATACTTGTACTTCTCTGTTTGCTTTTCCTTTTTTTCTTCCCCTCTCTACGACAGCGGTACATAGCGAACGAATAAACCAGTCTTCGTGATGCGTTCAAACTGAAAGGACGTGTTTTTTTCTCTGTCGTCGTCTCACTAGAAAAAGTCTGCCTCCCTGCTATTCCGCTACAACATTTTTTGGTGCCGAAACCCGGGAATTAGGGACCCAAAGATGGACATCGACAGGATGAAGCGCAAAAGGGCCGTGGTGCGAACGTCAACAACAAAGCTGCTCAATGACATCGCTACCATGGAGGACGACGCGTCACTCGGTGAGCTTGAAGAAAAGATCAACCTTCTCACCCTTAAGGAAGACTCACTCAAAGAGCTAGATCGGGAAATTGAGATTGGCGTAGAAGATGATGCATTAGAAGAGGAAATTGCATGCTCCGAGAACTACAAAGAAAAGATCAACGTAGCAAGGACTAAAGTACAGCTCATGCTACGTGAGCTTAGCTGCACTAACGCCGCATCAGTGAGCGCTTCGCTAGATCGCACCTCAAGTCCCTCAGATCAAAGAGAATCTAGCCGTAACATCCCGCAAGTAACCCCCACAGTAAAGCTGCCAAAACTAGAGATAGCAAAGTTCAACGGCGAGCTTCGACAGTGGCAAGGCTTTTGGAGTCAGTTCGACACGACAATAAACGCTAACCACCACCTGTCAAACGTGGACAAGTTCAAGTACCTGAACAGTTACTTAACAGGAAAAGCAGCGGCTGCCGTTGCGGGTCTTGATTTGTCCGACGGAAACTACGAAGTTGCTCTCTCGCTGTTAAAGGAAAGGTTCGGTCGTAAAGAAGCCATAATCGAGGATCACATGTCCAGACTGCTCAATATCAAGTCAGTGCGTGACTCGCGGAACCTCAGCCAACTTCGGAGCCTCGTTGACGAAGTAGAGAGAGGTGTACGGAGCCTCACTTCTCTTGGCGTCGGTGTCAGCACGTACGGAGCTCTGCTCCTGACAGTAGTAAAGAAGGCGGTGCCTGCGGACCTTCATCTCGAATACTGTCGACGAAAGGGCGCTACTACAGGAGGCAGTGAACTGGAGGCATTTGCGCATTTTTTGAGAGTCGAGGTAGAGGCACGGGAGATTATACAGCGGGCCGAAACACCAAGGGGCATGTGTGTAGAATCGTCTGTCGAAAACCGTAACAGCACCTTTAAAGCGGCGAGAATGTCTTCAGCCGCTGCACTGCATACCATGACCAAGGAGAGAAAAGGGTGTCTGTTTTGTTCGTCAGGGTGCCACGAAAGCGGTGACTGCGATGCAGAGATGTCGGCAGCTGATAAAAGAGAAATGCTGAAGCGGGAGAATAGATGTTTCCGCTGCACAGTAAAGGGGCACACGTCAAGAGAGTGCCGTAAGGCCAAATGGCTCAGGTGTGCCAACTGTAGCGGAAAACACCTCACGGCTATGTGTGATCCTGATTTCAGAGAATACCGTGGCAGTGGTGAACAGAATGCATCCTCTCCACCAGCGACAGGACAAGCCACAGTGCTAAAGTCTTCTCTAGGCTCAGAGGAGAAATTTATGTGCATGGAGGGGCATCAGTTTCTTCTGCAAACAGCACGAGCTTGGACAGTGGGACCGCACAAAAGTACGCTTGTCAGGCTTCTCCTAGATGGTGGCAGTCAAAGGACGTTCATCCATCGCAAGTTGTCTGAAAGACTGCAGTTGAACGTGCTTGGGGAAGAGGAACTTAAAATCTATGCCTTCGGCGACAAGTCCGCTATAACCCGCACTAAAGCGCGTCTGGTCGAGCTGTGGCTGCAAAGCCAGTACGACGGGAAAAGGGCGCGAGTGGAGGCCCTCGAGGTTCCCTGCATCTGCGCAGATATAATGGCTGCGCCTTTAAAGTCAGTTCTTCTGGAACTTTCGAAATTTGGCTTGCCAGTCGCGGACGTCGCGCAGGGTGACGGAAGTGAAAACATTGATCTTCTGATCGGCGCTGATCATTATTGGGAAATTGTCACGGGATCCACTAAGCGCCTAACCTCCAAGCTGATGGCAGTAGAAACTGCATTTGGGTGGACAGTCCAGGGCCAGGTAGGCGCAAAAAGGTCACCAGGAGTCTGTCCATCTGTTGCTGGCGTAATGCGAGTAGCAGTGAGCGAACAAACTAACAAAGAAATATCAGCACAGTTGAGGTCATTCTGGGAGCTCGAACACATTGGTATCAAGGAACACGAACCAGCTCGCCACCAAGACGCAATCCAACAGCACTACAAGGAAACCGTCAAATTTGAGCATGGGCGGTACACAGTGTCTTTCCCCTGGAAGCCTATGGTTGATGAGCTCGACGACAACTACGAGTGCGCCGCGAAGCGTCTTAGAGCCAACACGACGCGCCTTTTGAAGGGAGATTCCTTGATCGTGGAATATGACGCCTGCATCCGAGAATACATCGAAAAGGGCTATGCAGAGCCAGCCAACAAGCATTGCAGCGCTTCGGAAGGTCCGGTGTATTACATGCCACATCAAGCAGTTGTTCGACAAGAAAGCCTGACAACAAAAGTGAGGGTGGTGTTCGACGCATCATCAAGTGCCAAAGATCGCCTCTCACTGAATGATGTTTTGGAAAGTGGTCCAAAACTTAATCCAGAGCTCATTGATTTGTTGATCAACTTCCGCACTTACAACATCGGCATCGTCGCGGATATTGAAAAGGCATTCCTTCAAATATCTCTGTCAGAGGGTGACCGGAACGCTGTGCGGTTTCTCTGGTATGCTGCCACTCCGAAGAAAGGTGAAGAACTTCCAGCGGTGGCGGCCTACCGGATGACGCGCGTTCCGTTCGGTGTTACATCCAGCCCATTCCTATTAGCCGCAACATTACGACACCATCTTGAAGGACTCCCAGAGCAGTATGCTGAGACTGCGAACATCCTGCGCAGCCATCTCTATGTTGACGACCTTGTGACAGGGGTCGACACCCTCGAACAGGGTAAAGTGCTATGCCAGGAATCAAGCGATATATTATCTCAAGCAGGAATGCGGCTCCACAAGTGGATGTCTAACGACCACGATTTAGTCAACTTCATAGAGGATG